AAGTTTATAGCTATAAACACTTACATTAAAAATCAAGAAGGATCTCAAATCAACAAACTAACTTTACAACTTAAGGGAGCAGGAAAAAAAGAGCAAACTAAACCCAAACCTAGCAGAAGGAAGAAAATTAAAAAAAAAATAAGAGCAGAGATAAACAAAATAGAGAAAAGAAAAACAAGAGAAAATCAATGAAAGCAGAAGTCAATTCTTTGAAAAGATCAACAAATTGACAGACTTTTAGCAAGATGGGCTAAGAAAAAAAGAAACAAGACTCAAATTACTAAAATCAGAAAGAAAAATGGAGACATCACTACTGATTCTACAGAAATAAAAAAAGATTATAAGACAGTACTATGAACAACCGTATGCCAACAAACTGAATAACCTAGATGAAATGGACAAATTCCTAGAAACATAAAACCTACTAAAACTAAATCACAGTCCACGGCCATACCACACTGAACGTGCCCAATCTCGTCTGATCTCAGAGGCTAAACAGGGTCAGGCCTGGGTTGTACTTGGATGGGAGATTTCCTGGGAATACTGGGTGCTGTAGGTTTATATGTATATATAAAAAGACTAAATCATGAAGAAGTAGAAAATCTGAATAGACCTATAACTAGTGAAGAGGTCGAATATGTAATAAAAAATCTGTTGACAAAGGAAGACCGTGGACCTGATAGTTTCATGACTGAATTCTACTAAACCTTTAAAGAAGAACTAATACCAATCCTTCTCAAACTTTTCCCAAAAATTGAAGAAGAAGAAACACTTCCTAACTCATTCTGTGACTCCAGCATCACCCTGATACCAAAGCCAGGCAAAGACACTACAAGAAAAGAAAACTACAGACCAATATCCCTTATGAACATTGATAGAAAAATCCTCAACAAAATATTAGCAAACTGAATTCAGCAGGATATTGAAAGGATTATACATCATGACCAAGTGGGACTTATTCCTGAAATGCAAGGATGATGATTCAACATATGAAAATCAATCAAGATAATATATCACATTAACAGAATGAAGAGGGGGAAAAAAACCATATGATCATCCCATTATATGCAGAAAAAGCGTATGACAAAATTGAACAGCTTTTCATGATAAAAACACTCAACACACTAGGAATAGAAGCAAACTACCTCAACATAATAAAGCCATATATGAAAAACCCACACTAAACATCATACTCAATGGTAAAAGACTGAAAGGTTTTCCTCTAAGGTCGAGATAACAAGATAAGGACATCCACCTTGGCCACTTCTACTCAACATAGTACTGAAATTTCTAGCCAGTGCAATTTGGGGGTGTATGGGAGGGAATGGGGGAAGAAAGAAAGAGAAGCCATATAAATTGAAAAGAAAAAATTAAAATTATCTCTATTAGGAGATGATATGATCTTCTGTGTAGAAAACCCTAAGTAGCAGAATACAAAACCAACACAGAAAAATAAGTTATATTTCTATACACTAATGATGAACAATCTGAAAAGGAAATTACAAAAGCAATTCCATTTACAAAAGCACCAAACAGAATAAAATACCTAGGAATTAACTTAACCAAGGAGGTGAAAGATTTGTACAATGAATACTACGAATGTTTGCTGAAAGAAATTAAAGAAGGCAAAAATAAGTGGAAACACATCCCATGTTCATGGATTAGAAGACGTATTGTTATGATGTCAATACTACTAAAGTGAGCTATGGATTCAATGCAATTCCTATCAAAATCACAATGATGTTTTTTGTAGAAAAAGAAAAACCCACCCAAAATTCATATGGAATCTCAGGAGACACTGAATAGCCAAAACAATCTTGAAAAAGAAAAACAAAACTGAGGGACATATGTCCTGATTTCAAAACAATCAAAACAGTGTGGCATAAAGACAGACATGTGGGGGGTACTTCAAAAAGTTTGTGGAAAAACAGAATTGAAAGATAATACTAATCTTTCCATGGACTTTTTGAAGTACTCTCATATAGACCAATGTACTAGAATATAGAGCCCAGAAATAAACCCTCACATAATTGGTCATATGATTTTTGACAAGGTGCCAAGGCCATTAAATGGGGACAGACAGAATATATAAGAATTTGGTTGAGATCCCCATACTGGCCAACTGCCAAAAAAAAAAAAAAAAAAGAATATACAAGAATTAACTCAAAACAGATCAAAGACCTGAATATAAGACCTAAAACTTAGAAGAAAACATAGGGCAAAATTTTCATGACATTGGATCTGGCAATGACTTCTTGGATCTGACACCAAAGGCATGGGCAACAAAAGAAAAAATAAACAAACTGGACTTTATGAAAATTGTAAAAATTTGTGCATCAAAAGACCCTGTCAACAGAGTAAAAAGCAATCCACAGAATGGGAGAAAATATTTGCAAATCATATGTCTGATAAGGGATTATACAGGATAGAGAACTCCTAAAACTCATCTGTGGAGTATACTAACATTTATAAAGCAGATGTATTTCACAGGGCCTAGCTTCCAAAGCTGTATAGTTTCAAGTATAACCTAACTTTTAAAAATTACATATGGAAATGTTAAGCTTGCAAAAGAAAGGAAACTTTCCCCAGGCTAAAGTCTCTGATGTAGATAAGAATTATAACATAGCAAAATTGTTGGCTCAAGGACAGATGCCCTTGGAGCATGTTAACCTAAAGTTACTTGATTGTTATGTAAAAATACTAAGGAAATTGCTGTAGGAAAAGACAGTATTTGCTAAAAACAAGCTTTTGTTGGTGGATTGACTTAACCTTTTGCAAATTGCATTATGGAATGTCATTTTGTTATTTCACTTATGTTACCAGCTTCTATTGTTAAACTATACTTAGCCATAACTCGACCTGTGTTCCTTTTCTGTAACTTTCTGGCCTGGAGAATAAATACTGAGAAAGAACCCCAGTTCAGGGTTATTTTTCCAAGGAGGAATGCCTCTCTCTTGAGGGTTCCTGGAAAATTAACCCTTTCGGGGCTTCTCACTGCTCAGAAGAAATGGGCTTTGAGTAACCCTTTTTGTGTCTCCCTCACCCAGGGGGTGAGAGGTGACAAAGAGAGTGCAACACTCAACAGTAAAACAAACAGATTAAAAATGGGCAAAGGACTTGAATAAACATTTCTCAAAAAAAAGATGTACAAATGATCAATAAGCACATGGAAAGATGCTCAACATCACTAATCATTAGGAAAGCGCAAATCAAAACTAAAACAAGATGCCACCTCACACCCATTAGGGTGGCTACCAACAAAAGAATGGAAAACAAATGTTAAAGACGTGGAGAAACTGGAACCATTGTGCACTGCTGGTGGGATTGTGGACAACAGTACAGAGGTTTCTAAAAAAATTAAAAGTAGAACTACTATATGTGCCAGCAATCCACCTTCTGAGTATATATCTGTATTAGTCCATTTATGTTGCTATAACAAAATACGTGGAACTGGGTATTTTATAGGGAATATGAAATTTATTTGCTTACAGTTTCTGAGGTTGGGTAGTCCAAAGTCCATCTGGTGGTGGTGACAGTGACCCAGGGGTCTCAGGTTGCAAGATGGCAGAAGCAAAAAGAGCAGAGAGAGGGAGAAAGACAGAACTCTCCTCTTCTTTTAAAGCCCTCAGAACCACGCCCCTGATCACCATTTTTAATCCATTCACTACTGCACGGTCCTACAATCCAATCACCTCTTCAAGGCTCTTCCTTTCAACTACCATAATAGGATTTCCCACCCTCTTAACAGTCACAGTGGGGGGCTAAGTTTCTTTCTTTTTTTTTTTTTTTTGTCTTTTTCCGTGTCCGGCAACGGATCGCAACCCTCAGTGTCGCCCCCGTACCGGACCGGGACCGGCAACAGGATCGCAGCCCTCGGTGTTGCCCCCGCGCCTCGCTCAGCCAGTGAGCGGGAACCGGTCTGTATGTGGGATCCGAACCCTCGGTGGGAGCGCCGCCTCGCTTCCCAAGCGGCGCACTATAGCAGTGCGCCACTGGGCCGGCCCCTAAGTTTCTAATACATAAAACTCGGGGGACACAATTCAAGTGTCAGAGAGTTTTAGGGGGACATAATTCAATCCTCTGCAATATCCAAAGGAAACAAAACCAATGTCTCAAAGAGATATCTGCACTCCCTTGTTCAAGCATCATTACTCATAATAGCTGACGTAAGAAAACAACCCAAGTGTCAGTCAACAGAAAAAAGAAAATGTGTTGTTTCTGTGTGTGTGTGTGTTTGTGTGTACACAAGTATATAGGGAATATATATGGAATATTATTCAAGCTTAAACAAGAAGGAAAGCATAGGGATGAATCTGGAGGATATTATGTTAAGTGGAATAAGACAGACACAGAAAGACATGACTGCATGACCTCCCTTATTATGTGGAATCTAAAAATGTTGAACTCATAGAAATGGAGTAGAAGAGTGGTTACTAGGGATCAAGAAGATGGGGTGCAGGGTGGAGGAAATGGGGAAATGTTGGCCAAAGGGTACAAATTTGCAGCAAAACGAACAAGCCCCGGAGATCTAATTACAGCATGGTGACTACAGTTAATAATGCACTGTATACTTGAAATTTACTAAGGAAGTAGATCTTAAGTATTTTCATCACACACACACACACACACACACACACACACACACACACACACAAAAGGTAACCATGTGAGGTGATGGATATGCTAAAGCTTGATTGTGGTAATCATTCAACAATGTATATGACTATCAAAACATCACTTTGCACACTTTGAATATATACAATTTTTATTTGTCAATTATACCTCAATAAAGCCAAAAAACTGTTTCTAAAGATATTTAATGCCACATAAAGATAGTTACGGTTGTTATTTTTAAAAAGAAGATATAACATATATGCAATAGCATCTCAATTTTGAAAAAAATACAAAGGAAAATATCTAGAAGGAAATACATCAGAATGTTATTAAGGATGCTTCTGAACTGTAGAATTTGGGCTTAAGATTTTTCTGCTTCTGCATACCTTTTTCCTATTTTGCACATTTCCTCCTTATTCCTCTTATAATACGGCTGAAAACAAACCCATAAAAGCATTTAAAAGGTTTTAAATGGCAGCATAACATAGTGAAAAGCACGAGGCCGGACTATATAAAATTGCTGATATTTGACCATTTTCAACCTACAGAATAGTAGTTTTGGTTCAACCCAATGTTTTGACTAGCAGTCAGAAGATGGGGCGAGAAGCAAGCATCAATTTCTTCTTCAATGAGAAGAAACATAATACCCACCTCACACACAGGCGGAACAGCCACCTCATACAGATGAAAGCTCACCATAAACAGTAAAATAAGTAGCATGTAGATACAGTTACTATTATTATCTGGCACTTGTCACCATGTGTGCTGCTGGTCATAGCCCAGCACCAAGGATTTCGTGTCCAGTGTCTTCAAGTAGATGATAAGGTCTGCAGAGGGGTGCTTGACACAGGGCCTGCACATTCGAGGGACACATCGCAAGTTGACTTGTGAGCTCAACAAGGCCAGCTCTCTGGAGTGGGTGTGTAGGACTCATCCGCAACCCCAGTGTCCTTGTTCTCCTTGTGGAAGAGTCAAGTGTTAGTGGTGACTACAGGTAGGAGGTCATTTTTATTTATTTTCTACTTTGCCATCCTTGAGCCTTTAATCCAACCCATGACCATTGCTTCTTTTCCTCTGTTCGTCCCCTCCTTTCTGTAATACTTTCACATCCTCATGCAGGGCCTAGGTGACTATGAAAGCCTCATATTTATCCTCGTTGCCTCCACTTGGTTCCTTTGCTTGTTCGTGTGTTTGTTTACTCAGTGAGCACTTAGTAGGCACCCTATGGGCCTCCACCAGCACACACAGCAGCACCTATGTGCAAATTAGAAAAAAGGCACCCCCTTGCACCTTCCAGGGGATGGAAAAGCAAAGCGGTGCCTCCTGCTCCTGCTGCAGCATGGTTTGGAGCATGGAGACAGGCTGAAGATCAGCCCCTACTCATGCCCCTCTCCAGGCACCCTGCCCAGGCCACATCCTGCACAACTGTATGCAGTGGCCCCGAGCTGCACTGCACCAGGTGGCACTGTTGGGGAGGTGGCACAAGAGAAACAGGGCATGCTCAGAAGGTCTAGGGAGGCACACCCAGAAGAATGGCCTGTAAGACAGGGTCAGGAAAGCTTATGGCCTGTCCATAGCCAAGCTTGAGGGAAAAAGAAGATTGACAGTAACTAAGCTGTTCAGAATAATGAAAAGAAGAAATGGGTTTGAGGATTTGGGCTTCAGGCTCTGTTGCAAACTCTGAGGTCTAGAGGGGGGGCTGACACTGGGCAGGTGGCAGGAGCCCAGTCCTGGCAGTCACGGTTCTGAACGAAAAGGAGGGCTTTCCCAAGCCTCGCTCCTCCTTCCTGCTGGCGCGTCCCCTCCTTCCCCCACGCCCGGCTGTTCCAAAATCTGTTCTGCACCGGCACTGCGTTCAGCACTAACTACTGCATATTAGTACAATTGCAGTAGGTGACAAGATTGAACTTATTTTACTTTATCTTGCATATCTGGACTTAGAGTCTCTTGATAGTCAACATGTAAATATATTCAAACAATATGCAAAGCAAGGGCTTAAAATGAGTTGAAAAAAATCTGGTAGCCTTATGGTGAGTTCTCTCTACAGAGGGACTTTTCTTAGCTATGACATCCCAGAGGGGCGCCCCCTCCTGGCCTTGTTTTTGTCTTTTTTCCCTCACCAGATACCCTTAATTAACCATTTATATCACTAAAGACATAACTAGTCCCTAGAGTGATGGGGGTTCACACCTTGGGGTCCAATATAACAATCACCTGGGGAGCTTTTAAAAATTCTCAAATTCTGGACTCCATCCATGCAATTAAATTAAATTCACTGGTACTATGGCTCCCCCATCCAGGGGGGACACATTCCATGACCCCCAGTAGATGCCTGAAACCTTGGATAGTACAGCACCTCATATAGACTATGTTTTTTCCTGTACATACATACCTATGATAAAGTTTAATGTATAAATCAGGCACAATAAGAGATTAACAACAAAAAGTAATAATAAAATAGAATGGTTATAACAATATGCCAACATTACTATTCTGTACTTTGGGACCATTACTATGTCAAATAAGGGTGAATTGGAGACAAGCATTGCAATCCTGTCAATCTGATAACCAGGAAGACTACTAAGAGACTAATGGGCGGGCTGCATTTATGGCGTGGATGTGCTAAACAAGGGGTGGTTCACATCACAGGCAGAACAGGGCAAGATGGCAGGAGACTTCATCACACTACTCAGAACGACATGAGATTTAAAACTTATGAGTTGTTTATTGCTGGAATTGTCCGTGTAATATTTTTGGACTGTGGTTGACAGCAGGTAACTGAAACCACAGAAAGCAAAACCGTGGATAAGGGGGGACTGCTGTAATAGGGCCCAGGCTTCAGTATTTTTTAAGCTGTCTAGGTCCTTGTGTTGCTGCGGACCAGCACCACCAGTCTCATATCTATTCTCATGGGAGAATCTCCCACCTTTCGCAGGAGAATCAATTATCATGTGGGAGCTTATTAGAAATGCAGAATCTGGGGCCCCATCCTAGTCCTTCCTAATCAGAATCTGCATAGTGACAAGATCCCCAGGTGATGTCTGTCACATGAAAGCTTGAGAAGTGCCAGTCTAGGTTATTGATTCTCAAACCTGGTGGCACACTGGAATCACCTGGGGAGTTTTCACACACGCTCGTGCCAGAGCCCCAGCCACAGAAAGTGGGATGTAATTGGTCTGGGGTAAGACCTAGGCTTTGGGACTTTTAAAACTTGCCTACATGATTCTAATGTGCAGCCAAGTTGGAGGACCACTGCACTAGATGATTCCAGTGCAGGCACTGCCTACATGTAAGAAATTTTGCTTCAATGAAAATTTCTCTTCAGTGAATCATATGCGACCATTATGCACAAGTAGATGCTGTAAAAGTAATGAAAATTGATCATTTCAGCAAACTTGAAAAAAAAATTAATGTTTAAAGAAAAGTCTTTCTGATAAAAAAAATTAACAGACTACTAACTACGTTTGAAATAGCAGTAACCAAATAAGCTAATGTTCATTTGAGGGTCAGCAATTTAGTATACGACTTCTAAACCCAAGTTAATGGTTTCTTAGCTGAAAACTAGTACAGAGGTCTCTACTTTGGCTGCACATTACAATTACCTGGGGAACTCTGGTGGGAGGGGAACCCAGGCCATAGCCCAAACCAATTAAATCAGTCTTAGGGTGAGTCCCAGACATCAATATTTCTTTAAAGCTTCCAGGGAGAAACCAAAGTGCAGCCAAAGTTGAGAATCTCTGCAACAGGGACTACAAGTACAACCAAAGTGTCTTTCTTATTGATCCTGGAAAGGACTTGGGGTTGTTGGACATTAACAACTTCCTCTGCCTAGAAACTTCTGCTCCATAACCTGATCCACCATATTGTTCTTCCAGGGCACTGATGCCAGCCAACATACAAGCCCAAGTTCACCACGCACTTTGGTGGTCTGGGTGTTGGTGAACTCTCGACTGGGTTGGTTCCTCTGCTCAGTTCTTCTGGCCTCCTTCTCCTCTGACCTGGGCAGCTGAGGCTCCAGGGCGCCCTGATGCTGGGTTCCTCTCAAGTTCCAACCCATGCAGATAGAGAAGAAGCTTGCCAGAACCCACACAGGCCTCTAAGTCCAGAACATTGGGTGGGCAGAGCAGAACTGAGGGCGGAGGCCTGAGCTGATCTCTCTTCACAAGTAGCAGAAGCTCTCTGAAGCCAACACCAGGCAGGACATGCTGATCGAGGTTCTGGGGACCCTAACTGAGGACTACACATCTTAGCCTCACCCATGGGGGACCCTCAGCCAGAACCATAGGCTGGCGGGCTCAGGTGGAACACAGGGAAGGCCAAGGGGCTTCCAAGTTTGTCCCCCTTGTCACAGCTATGCTATCATTTCATAAACAAAAATGCATTTATCCTGTAAGTCCTAATACTTTTGAATCATTTAAATGGCAGTCCAGACTTGACCAAGAGCAGAAAATAACTTGATTTAGGGCTTTAAAAAGTTATAATGTCATTTCTTAAATTCAAAGTGGAGTTTAAAAGTAATTGTTACTAAGATAATATTAACATGGGCAGCACAATTCATTCTAAATCATTTTAATAAATGTAATTAAGTTTATCAATAAATTTTAAAGATGTACTAAACCCAGTATCAATCATGTATCCTATGCATTTGAGCTCCCCACCAGTGCCTATGTAACAGGACTTGTATTAAATACTACTCTGTGTTACTAACTGGATAGTTACCAGAGTATGTAGGTGTGAACCGCTGCCACGCACTGTGTCTTACACGCACCTCTGCACTGTATCTTCCCCATCCTGGCCCAAGACACTATTACCTTACCCCCAACTGGTTTCCCTGGTCCTCTCTGTCCCTCCTCAGTCCCTTCTCCACACCACAGCCAGACTGGACTTTCAAAAATGTAAGTCGAATCATGATACCCCTCTGCCTGAGTCCCTTTAATGGCTTTCCTGTGTTCTCATATTAAAACCCAAATTCCCCACCCTGGCCAACAGAGTCCTGGCTGCCTGGCCCATCTGTCCCCCTGTGCTCACTATCCTCAGCCACAGGGATCTGCTCCCATTTCCATGACACACCACATTTTCCTGCCTGCCTGGGGACCTTCCCACATGCTGTCTCCACTTCTCCTGAATCTTAGCATGTGTGGTTCTCTCCCATCCCTAAAGGCTCAGCCTAAATGTCACCTCCTCAGTGAGGGCTTCCCCAACCCCCATCCTGGGATGCTCTACTCCAGAGTCCTGTCCATTCCCTTCACAGACATTCCCCTCTTGAAATGAATTCGTTATTGGCTGGTTTACTTGGTTATTATCTGTCTTCCACTGGACTGGAAATTTTTCAGTTTGGGCTATCCAGACAGGAACACCCCTCCTATTTGGTGGGATGAGAGTGTCGGCAGGAGGTAGAGACCAAAAGGTCTTTCTCCCATTCTTTAAGAGCTAGTGGGAGGGCACAGGGCATACGTTTGGCCAGTGAGATGCTGTACCTGGGGCCTTTGAGCCCTGAGGGAGTGATGCAAAGTTTGTGGCAGCTGGAGATCTGTCCCAGTGCCACTGATGGCAAAGGAGGGAGGTGACTACAGCAAGTGCCCAGGAACAGTGGAGCTTAGGACAGCAGAGTCAGGGCAGCAGGAGAGGGCATCCTGCCCAGACTGTCTCGTGGCCTGACCTTGGCTGTGCTCTCAGCTGCCTGGTTTGGTCTGCCTGTTTTCCAACCCAGTTCTCCATCTACCCATGTCCCTCCCAGAAATTCCTTTTCTGCAAAAGTCAGCCCCAGCCAGTGTCAGTCATGTGTGACTCCACACCCTTCATGCCATAGGCTCCTGTGGGCAAGGACCTGTCCATAAAGCTCTCAGCACCATGTCTGGTACATAGAAGGGACTCGGACATGCAAGCTGAAGGAATGACTGAATGGACTTGGCTGGATTGGGTGGTGGGGTGGAGAGTGTTCAAGGAGAAAGGGCCACATATTTCCATTGGCGTCTGCCCTAAGAGGGCTAAAAAGACAGTGGGTGTGATCATTTTAATGCTGTCATAGACTTCACCAAACTGTCTTCCCAATGGACTGCGCTAATTTATATTCCCACCAGCAGTGTAGGAGTGCATAGCCTGCCACTCTATTACCCACAGCCCTTTTTACACTTTTCCCACCCGGGCTTTGCATGCAGTGTGTGTAGTTAAGTGAGAATATATGTCATGAGCAAAGGTCGCTGTGGAAAGGGTCTGGTGACCTGCAGCCCCGAGGAAAGTCTTGTAACTGTCTTATTTGAGGAACAATTAAACAGTAATCCATGGATCGCTTCAAGATCATCATTCCCCACCTCGAGCTGGTCTATATCATTTTTAAGTCCTGCCTTGTCAAATATTATTTCTTCTTGTGATAAAATACATATAACATAAAATTTAGCATTTTAACTATTTTTTTTCCTTTTTGTCTTTTTTCGTGTCCGGCAACGGACCGCAACCCTCAGTGTCGCGCCGTACCGGACCGGGACCGGCAACGGGATCGCAAACCTCGGTGCTGCGCCTGCCCCTCACTCAGCCAGTGAGCGGGAACCGGTCTGTATGTGGGATCCGAACCCTCGGCAGGAGCGCCACCGCCCTTCCAAGCCGCGCACTGTAGCAGTGCGCCACCGGGCTGGCCCGTATTTTAACTATTTTTAACAGTACAATTCAGTGGCCTTAAGTCATTCTCATTGTGGTGCAACCATCATCACCATCCATCTCCAGAACTAAACGAAAATTCTGTAGCCCTGAAACACTAACCCCTCGTTCCCCTTCTCCCCAGCCCCTGGACCACCGTTCTACTTCTGTGTCTATGGATTTGACTGCTCTAGAGACCTCAGTATTTGTCCTTTTAGGACTGGCTTATTTCACTCAGCATAATATCCTCAAGGTTTATCCACGTTGTAGCATGTCCGAATTTTTTCCTTTTTAAGGCTGAAGCATATTGCGCTGTGTGTATATACCACACTTTATCCATTCATCTGTAGATGGACACTTGGGTTATTTCCACCTTTTGGCTGTTGTGAATAATGCTGCTATGAACACGGGTGTGCAGATATCTGTTTGAGTCCCTGCTTTAATTCCTTAGGTATATACCTAGATATGGGATCGCTGGATCACACGGTAATTCTGTTTAATTTTTTGAGGAATCACCATACTGCTCTCATGGCAGCTACATCACTTTACCTTTCTACTCAAACATTATTTTAAAAATATTATGCTGCATCCAAGTCTAGTTAACACTGAAGGGTTGTTTTAGAAGCAGAAAAAAGAATCATCTTTTATGTGTCCTTTAGAAATTCCCTCCACAATTTCTAATGAATTTCAGTAAGTTCTCATTTGTTCTTAAACATAAAAAGTTAAAAAAAAAAATAGGGCATCATTAAAAAATATATCAACAAATTTCCATTTAGGTTACCATACAGAAATGTTATGTATGAATGACCCTTTAAACTTCTTTAAGGAGATTTTGACTTTAAGCTGGGAAAAGTTCAAAATTAAAACTTCTTATTGAAAAGTACATACACATCTATAGCACTATGACAGATTCATAGTGGATTCCTCTCTTTAGGGCTGTATCTTTAATCCTTTGAGGGGGCTGAAGGAACATAACTGCTCTGTCATTGCCTCTTCCTTGGTTACGTACTGGGAAAAACTGAGTTCTGTGCTATAGGACCCCAGGTCTGACCTCGTCTGGCAATTCTGATGGTTATAGAAGAATGTGGCACTGAGTGGAGATAAGAGCCCAACTGCCCCTCCTTTCCTACCCTCCAAGTGACAGCAAAATTCACCACACTTATGATATTAATACCTGGGTATTTATGCCAAGCATCTATAATAATTGAGGCCTACTTATGCTCTCACTTTGCTGAGTTCCCAAGTGCCCTGAGAGATTCCTTCCCTATTTTGAAGAACTATGTTTTGGTTACTATGACAACAATGCATGGAGAAGAGGGAGCTTTCCATGGACATGAGAGCAAAAGAACAGCTATTTGTCCTCCCATTGGCAGAACAGGGCCATTCGGGAGATTGGCATGTGATGCAAACATAAATAAGCATGCAGCCCATCTCAGGAACACCAGGAAGACTGTGCAGGGCATTTCTCTAGCAAAGCAATGATACCACACCTCAGTCAAGTGCTCCATTTTGTGCTGAAATGAAGAAACGGTCTTTTGTGTCCAAAGCAGACACACATAGGAGAGTACTTTGTGGTCCACTATGAGTGGCTTCTAAGGAAGGACCCAGGACACAGGATGGGGGTGGGCCACAGGCCAGCCTTTGGGCCATCGCAGGGCACCATGTACAAAGCAGAGGGTGCTGTGTAAGGATTTCCCTCTTGGCCTACCCTTGCCACTCTCTTTGCCACAGAAACCCAGGGAAAAGGGTGGCTGTCAGATAAAGGTAAGACTCAGCAGGAGTAGAGGGAAAAAAGCAGAATCCTCTTCCTGTCCAATTTGGTGAAGTTTGTGTCATGTTCTTTCAGTGTGTGGGCTGTACTGCCTCCCCAGACCATCAGGATGCCAGGGGGCAAAGCACACTCCTAAGAGTGACCCCAATTAAGGAAGTCCTTTTTTGCACAGAATGGGAAAGCAAACAAACATCCATATCAAACATTTAAAGTTAGCCATTATGCTGAGTGAAATAAGCCAGACACAAAAGGACAAATACTGTCCGATTCCCACTCATATGACTGAGGAGCCTAGAGTCATCAAATTCGCACAGGTAAAAAGGTGAATGGTATTTGCCAGGGGCTGGGGCAGAAGGGAATAAGGAGTTAATGTTAATGGGTTCAGTTTGGGAGAATGAAAAAGTGCTGGAGACAGATGGTGGTGATGGTTGCACAGCAACGTGAACGTACTTAATGCCCCTGAACTGTACACTTAAAAATGGTTAAAATGGTAGACTTTATGCTATATATATTCTACCACAATAAAAAAAATTAAAGTTGTCAAATCTGTTTCCCTTGCGACATCCATGTATCATTTCATAAATAAAAACTTATTGATCAAGTTCAGGATCGATCATGCACTCCATAAATATTGAGTCCACCATGAGCGAGCT